GGAAAAGTGGAAGTGCTCCAGCATGGGGACCAGCAAGCACAAGGGCTCCAGCTATCCGAGAGACCAAACGTGGAGGAGCCAAATCCATGTTATAATAACTCACAAAAATACTTGAATTTAATTTAAATTTGTAGGGCAAACGGTGCCCTTTACAACAATTGCTAATTTTATTCCACTATTTGCCATATTCTAAAAGAGGCTTAATATTATTTTGTCTGAAATGGAAGGCAGTCAGTCTTACTTTAAGGAATCTTCTATTTCTTTTAAAAATGATAGATGCTAAAATGCTTCCATTGCAGAACTAGAAAAAAAGAAGAGACTGGCCAAAGTAATTTCATCTCATTCTATTGAGTTGATTTAATAGGACTTGTGTTAGTAGAACTACATAAACAATTTTGTGAAATGGCATATGGAATATTTTGAGAGTATAAATGTGTATATGGGACACAAGAGCATCAAAGGAATTTTGTTTGAAATATGCACTTTTAATATAGATTGCTATGATAGAGTAGAAATTGAAATTATATTGCAGATTTCTGCTTTTAATAACTTTATGAATTTTTCACAAAACATCTAAGTCTTTCTTTTCTTTTGAAGATCTAAATCATATATTCTCTTTCCTTCTGTCAATCTTCCCAAATGTATTGGTATTCTATTTTGTGAGAGGTATTAATTCTTCTATACAATAAGTATTCAAAGAAAATCTCATTTATTCTTGTTAAGTTTGGGTTGCAAGTGTAAAAATCTATAAGACAATCAAAATAATGGTAGGACAAAATGAAAAGGAATGTGTAGTTGCTGACTAATATTAATCTGACAAATTTTAAATGTGTTTCCTACAAAGACACCCAAATGCTTCATAAGTCTCATTTTAGTTGTGTCACTGCATTGTCTGAGACTGTATAAATATATGTGTATGTAATGTATACATCCTTATTCTATATTTTGTATATTTTATCATATATGTATATATATTGGTATGTACACACATTCATATACATTTTATATCTATGGCATCAACTCCTTCATAATAAAAGTGGTATGTGTAACTTCCAAGTAAAATGGTTTAAAGAAGAAATTGCTTGTTTGCCACTTAATACCTTTTTCCCTTTTCGCAAAGATGGGACATGGACTAGTATGTGTAATCCAACCTCAACCAGTTCAGAGAACACTGGAAGATGGAAGAGTAACAACGTATCTATAGGAAAGAGCTTCCCTACTGGCTTGGAAATGCTCATCCCTGGATCATTAGATAAGACAGAAATAAAATTCTATTTTGTTTGAGCCTTTGAATTTTAGGGTGGTTGTTGTCGTTGTTGTTGTTGTTACAGCTGCTTAAAATATACCAAAGTAATATATTTGCCATCTTGACTTTTTAATTTGTGCATCCTTCCCTTTTCATTCCTGTTCTTTCAAAGCCTTTTTCCCCCCATATAAACTTCCCAACATAAATATTTTCAAAAAGCGTGAAAAAAGCAAACCTAATTGGGAAGGAAACAACATAAGAGACAAATTTACAGGTCAGTTTTTGCTGCTAGCGTAGACCATCTGAAAAACACTGCAAAGTCACTAACTTTTCTTTACTTTCAGAAGCAAATTTGATAATTTCTTCTTGGTCTTTGTTTAGTTATTATTTTATTTTATATTACTTTGAGTAGATATCTTGCTTTGTCACTCAAGATGGAATGCAGTGGCATAATCATGGATCACTGCAGCCTCAAACTCCAAGGAAGTCTGAGACTACAGGTGCGCATCACTACACCCACTCTTCTTGACCTTTATTAATCACAATGATGTGATCATCATTGCTGGGACTTAATTTAAAGGGAGATGGAGAAGGAACAGAGTGACATTTAAAAGTAGCTAGCTGTTCAGACAGGAAGGCTCCTTGGAGCAAATAGGCTTTGGTCTGAGATAAAACATTTGAGCAACATTGTAGAATTAAGTCAATAGTGTTTCCCTTTTTGTTTTGGGAGAAGAATGTAATTGGTATTCTTTTGACTTGGGTAATGCACAGTAATGCCCTTTCAGACTCCTTGGTAGGTTTAAAAGTTGCTGAGAATAGTTTGCAGATGTACATAGGAACCAAGTAGCCTTTTAGAAGTTAAGAGTTTGAAAACACAGACATTTTCACTTAAGGATCAAAATGATTAGAATGTCTCCAATGAGCCTAGATGGCCTCGTTGAGAAAGAAATCTTCAGACATTATCTGACCTCTTTCATGTTTACATCATGTTTTTTGTTTTTAATATATGATTATTTTACTGATTTTTAAAAACTCATGTTGATCCATTTTGTTATTTTTCCTCTGCTCTATGGGATACTTTTCTTAGTGACAGCTCTTCAACCATCATTTGTTTTTCTGTTTTTGCACCTCTTTTGTCTTTTAATTGTTAACTATTTGGACTGAGATATTTACATATTACAATAAACTAAAATTATCCTTTATTTAGCCCAGTTTTCTCTGATCTTAGCAAGAACTTCAGCATCTGTAGATCATAGTTTCTCAATTAAAAGCATTACGGTCTATAGAGGAGAGTCAATTGAGTGTCAGCAATTTAAATTGTATTCATCACAAAATACGAATTTGAAGAAAACTGCAAGCAATTTTATTAAAAAATGTAAAATGGCATACATTGCAAAATATATTCTTCAGAAAATTGCCAATGAGACAATGTTAGAAATAGATACAGGCTAAGAAAATGATTAAGAATGTGTATATGACCTAAGAATAATGATCCCATTTATTTTTTAATGTTTAAGTAACTAATATAGAGACATTTTTTATTTTGCTTTAATAGAAATGTTATTTTTTATATTTTGGTAAGAATATTTTTATATTTTCAGCAATCAATAAAATTCACTGGAGAGCCAATGAAATAATATTAAATTATAAGTCAAATATACATATTTCAAAGAAATTACATAACTTTTACTACTTTTACTGCCCCATTTCATCCTCAAAAATATTCTCGTTTGGGATTTTTATATGGTCACACTACCTAGAAGTTACGTGTGTAAGAGTATTGGACCCAGTGAAACACATGAATCTAGGCAGTGACAGGGGAAGGCTCGTTTCAAGAAGACCGTAAAACTGATTTGGGAACCCCCCTTGAGCCCTTTACCCTAATATTGTGGTTATGCTATACCTGTTTGGGCGCAAATTAAAATAATTCTGTCAGTGAAAAGGTGTCATATTGAGAGGCCAGGCTTCCTGTGGCAAGGAGCAGACAAAGGTGAATATGAGCCTAGGAATAAAGAGACTACATTACTTTCTCCACCCACAACGTCCTACATGCTGCACTAAGAAGCTGTCCCCAGATCGGCAGTGGTACCTCATGTCTCTGTCATAGTAGCAGTCACCTGTCTTCATGGGCTGAATTCTTTCTCAGGATGTTCTTTGGTTCTTCATGTAGAGAATTCTGCCTATGTAGCACCCATGTAGGGGTGCCCTATATCTTTTCTGGATCACTTCTGACATATGACCAGGTTAGGCCATGGACAGACTTTATCTTCAAGTAGAGGCTCTTCCCCCACCATGTATGCAAATAAGGTGGTGATTAATAATAACTAAGGTAAAGTCCTTTACATAGATCTTAAATATTTATCCAAAGATCTTGGAAAACAAGGCTGTTAATATTATACTGCCTTTAAGAAAATTATATTCCACGTATTTCACAAAGTAAAACATGACTGCCATGGGGGTATGGTCATCATTTCTGACATCTAGAAATTTTATGTGCCTAAAATTTCGCAAAGCATTTGAAAGACTGTTCAATTTCTCTAGTAAAGCCAGTGTGGCTCAATCAACTGGGCCCTCCTCCTAAGCTGTACATCTGGGTAGGATCCTGGCACATGTTGGTTTCACCTGCAGGATGTCCTGGCTTTCAAAAGCTTTTTTCACTTCCTGCTGTCATTTGATAGGAAGCAGTGAGATGGAGAAGCTTCTCGTATGAACATAGAGGCAAGGAGACGTGATCTTATCATTTGATTATTATAAGGACACTTAAAAGAACAATGTTTGGTGAGAAAAAAGCTTTCTCCTCTTTAATAAGAGGATCTCAAACAGGCCTCCTTCTCATTTTCTAGGTATATTGAAAGACTCCCAGATGGTATAACACAATCATCCTCAAAAATCTAGTTTCCAACATTGTTTTTTTTCTATTAGCAATTTGCACATTTCTCTTCTTTACATCCCTATTGAAATTAATTAGCATATACTACTTACATGTCTACTTCTTCAGAGTTAACTCACTTATAAAACAGATGTTTCTATGGGGAATATGCTTTCATGCTTGCTTTATGCAGCTCTGGCAAGCCCTGTTCTAGCTGACATTTCACTCTTAATAGGGAAGTTATAATGGGAAAATACTCGAAGTTCAAGCAATTAAGGGAACATTGATTTCCATATGGAATCAATGAAAAGCTGGATGTTTACACCAAGCACCAAGCATCAGAATTTTGTCTGAGCAAGGTAGAGATGACTTAACTTTGGGCCTATCTTCATTTCTTTATTTACTTCAAATGAGAAAGAGAACTGTATTGTATTTGCTTGTAAGGGCCGTGATAACAAAGTACCACAGACTGTGTGGCTTAAATGATAGAAATGTATAGTCTCACAATTTGGGATGCTAGAAGTCTGAGGTGTTGGCTGAGTTAATTTTCTAAGGCCTCTCTCCTTGGCTTGCAGATGGCCATTTTCTCCCTGTATCTTCACAGTCTTCCCTCTCTAGGTGTTATCTGTGTCCTAATCTCCTCTTATTATAAGGATACCAGTCAAATTAGATTTGGACCCATCCTAATGGCCTTATTTTAACTTAATTATTTCTTTAAAGGTGCTATGTCCAAATGGTCACATTCTGTGAAATTAGGGATTAGAAATTCACACATGAATTTTGGGAGGGACAAAATTCAGCCCATAACAGAAATCATGCTTATTACTTTTGTCAGTAACAGTACTTTAAAAAATGACATTGTCTCTGTTTCTTACATTTTAAAAGGAACAGAACATGTTTAAGATCACAGGATATCTGCATAGGTAAGTATAAATCTTGTTGGCATTTTAATTTTCTCACTGGAAACCTTGTTTTCATGTGCAAGTGCTGAAGGTTCTGGGAGATTTTTTCATTATTGCTCTTATGAAAGCAGCTGTTCAATGAACACAGCATATTTTGTTACCTCATCAAGAAGCAGAGGAAGGTTATGTTGTGATCAAGTTTTGTATGGCTATAGTCAATGCTTGTCTGATTGTTTGAGCCTGGTGATTGATTTAATAGGTATACTCTAGGGCAGTTACTCATCCCTGATATTTGCCCAACTCAAAGCTCCATGTTATTTATGTAAACGATGCTTTATATGCCTTCCATGCAGATAAATCCCAGTTGACAGAACTGTTTAAGAGATGAGTGTGCTCCCAATTGGGATTATGGTCACAGTATTTATCTATATCAACTTTCATGTTACTTCACTGGCAAATTGGGAGCTTGGAGGATAAGAGGATAAGATATGATTGGGAGAATCTATTTTCTACTCTGAAGGTAGTAGCTCAACATTTCAGTACGCTGTGCATCTAGGAAGACATCAGAAAACAAACAAAGCAATCAGTCTTGAGAACAGATGATTTGTCTTTGAAAAATAAAAACATATCTAAATAATAGGGAAAATCTAAAACCAGAGCCATTTAGATATACTCAGAAGTTGGAAAATGTTCTGATGTGTAACAGGTTCTGCATTTTTAGCATTGGCTGAGGATTTTTTCTTTTATGTGATAGAATATGAGCCTTATATGTTCTTTACATACACATGATTATTAGAAGATCAAAAAGCTACATAAGATTTCTGGTTTAAAATGATAAGAGTAGGAACTATGATCTTTCCTCTTGTTTTATAAGGTATCATCCAAAAGCTAAAAAATAATGAGACAAAGGTAAAAAATGGTAGAGACACATAAAACCTGATAGAGCTAGGAGACATAAAACCTCAAAACAGTAACAGTATAAAAAGGGAGTATATTGCTTGTTTCCTATGGCTAATTCAACTAAAATATTTTTTGATAAGAATAATTTTGCACAATTTAATCTGTAATGTAAGAGACTAGAACAATCCAGTAAGAAAATTCTATTTTCTTGGTATTTTTAAAAATATTCCTTTCAACAGCATTTTACTTCTTTGACCATGTAAAAGACATATGGATCCTATATTGAAAATATATGGACCAAGTTTCCATATATCCAAATAAATTTCCAATATGTTCTAGTTTCATAGCTTTGCCCCTATGTAATTCTATAGATACGAAATTATATATGGGAAACACCAAGATAATTTTATGAAGGGAAACTAGTGCTCTCTCATGCCCTATATCCTTTACAAAAATTAAAAGGGGGAAAAAAATTCTCATTAATGTATGCTTGCAAAACAATGGCAGTCATTTTCCTGGCTGAAAACTAAATTATTATGCATTATAGTGTGCATGTCTATGATAAGTAGGTTACTATAGATCATTCTGAGAGGAGGTAGAGGGAAGATTGCACTAACATTAGCTTCTCTGGTATTTGCAGGCTGTAAATTTCTTTAAATGATAGATGCAAAGATGGAAGACAGATGGATAGAGGAAAAGACAGAATCAGATACTGGATGAGTTAGTACTGCTGCCTGTGCTTCAGGGCTGTCTTATTACCACAAGGCCAGCAAGCATCAATGTCCTCACATCCTCCACTCCCTCCCCCTGAAATGTACCGATTTATATGAAAATTAAGATTACAAATTAAAGCCTGGCTATCCTGGAGTTTTCCAGTTCATCAGCCATCCAGTAAAAATGATGTCAAGCCTGTATGCATAATTCCCAGAAGATTACTTTGTCCTTACAGCTAAGCCCTGTCCCTGATATGAAAGATCTCTATCCACTTTTATTGAAATAAAGAACTAACATCATAATCCCAATATTGAGGTATAATCTTCATTATCTCCTGACCCTCTTGAGGTTCCCCCAATCTATATTACTTCAGATTTGGTTTATTTATAATCCTTATGTATTTACTTTTATTGAGATAGGATTAAAAACTAAAAAAAAAAAAAAGCTTCAAAAAATCCTTATGATCTCATGATTGAGTTTCATTTCACCAACAATCAACTAATGTGTTAGACTGAGTTTTTTTAAAGTGCTTCTTATAGTTATGTAGTCCAAGCTTGAAAAGGCATTAATTGGTCCCATGTGTTCCTGTTGCATTACATGAATTATTTCCAATTCAACTTGGTTTGTGAAATGATGGCATCATCTTCTTTCCCTATTTATTAAAAAAAGGGTGGGGGGGATGTATGAAAAGATAAGCATACACATAAAATCATCCAAAGTAACTTTAATCTCTTTTCTTAGGAAGTTTTGATTCGTATCTATAATTAATTACTAGTAAACCACAATCCACCAACCTTTTCTTTCCCCAAGAGCCTTAATAGCCTCTGGCTATGCCTCGGGCTGTTAACTACCAAACTAGTCATTAATGATGGTCAAGATGATTTCTTGGAGATTATTGCCCATTTATTTTTTCAAGAGACAAAACAGAATTTGCTTTGCACAAAGAATAAAATAATACTTTAGCCATTTTTTCCTTTCAAAAACATAAACACTGATGAAAATCACGTTGTACTGTGGTACTTTCAAAATATTTCATGTTATTTTAGCTGTATTTTCAAACTGAAAACTGGTTATCATCATGTTTTCTTATTTTAAGTGAATTGTTTTCTATATTTGGAAAGAACACATCTTAAGAGATTTGATATGTTCTTTATTTACTAGTACCTCTTATTTGTACCTTTGTCCAAGGATATGTCAGGAAGATATTTGTTTTTTAGAACTGAAAACAGAATGAAAAGAGAAATACTTTACTACTGACATAAAATAGCACTGGAGTGTTTTCTTCCTAACATAATATTTATTGTTTGATTGAAAAGAATTCTTATTCTATCATTATTGATATAAAATGCGATTCATTATAATTTTTATTGGCTCAATTATTCCTCATCTGTGAACCATTCATTTTCATTCATTTGTGCTTTTACTTGAGCACCTGCTATTGCCTGGGCACATTCAGAGGCAAATCATTAGAGAATGCAGAAAAAAACTGGAAAAACAAAAACAGTCTATGATCACTTAATCATCTTTCTGCTAAAAATAATATTCAAACATAAAAACATGTATTGAAATGATTAGACTTATTAAAATGTTTACTCAACAGCTAAAAAGGAGGTAGCTGAAACAATATTTTGGTATCCTTCATATGTTATGGTTATCAGTTTATTTATGTGAATTTGCTTATTTAACCCTCATAACAACTCTACAATTCTTTAAAGCAACCTTATAATTATTCCTAGTTTGTGGATGTGGAAATTGAGACTTTAGAATTGCTGAAGATATAGGAGAAGAAACAAGAAAGTACTGGAAGAAAGATGCAGAAAAGAAGTTTCAGGGTTTCACATACAACAATGCTCATTTAACACCTTAATTCCTGCATTTGCTTATAGACAGGAAATTTCCTTTCTTTTGAAAACTATGGCTCAAGATGGCAGGATACCCCATGGAATCCCAGTTTAGATCTTGAAACAGGTAGAATAAGAATGGTATTGGTTAGATAGTTTTAACTAACTGATAGAGGTTCATTTGAATTAAATATGAATATTCTTTATAAGAGCAAGACTGCCAGTTATTAATAATTTATAGAAATTGCTTATTACCAGCTACAGTGTACGTTTGATTGACTGATAGAACTGTGGGAAGAAGTAACAGAAAAAGAAAAGGAACTGAAAAGTGATATGGGAGTGTGGCTTATTTTGAAGGAATTATAGTTTTGGCCAGAGTGTCTAATGTAAGCTAGAAAAGAATAATACTGGGCACCAGGGATGAGTGAAGAATTCATTTATATCTTTGGCTTAGCCCAGCGCTATTTGACTTAAGACAGTGTGTATGGTGTCCTGGAAAAGGTTTATAATTTATGGAGCTTTGAATTCTGAGGGATAAGCCATGAATTACAGGGTGATTCCAAAAGCTTTACATTCTAAGATAAGCCACTGTTATGCTTTTTCCTCATTAAAGACAGGAACTTTCTGTTTTTTAGCAAAACTGACCCAAATGTCTTTTTTAATAAGCATTGTACTGGCATGCAGAAATTTAAACTATAAATACAGTCTTTTTTCTTTATTCAATGTACCCAATTATTATGAAAACAACTTTACATTATGAAAATAAAATTCAAATCAGTAATAAAACTTTTTTCTTGAACAAAGAAAACAGAGGATCCAATACAACTTTCGTAGTTTTTTTTTCACCTTGCCTTTATAAAAATAGCATCTTTGACTTTGTAGCTGACAATTTTCTCCTTCATACAGTGTAACTCCTAAACCAGTTTTCTAACTCCGAATTCAGATTTCTATCATCTGCTGACAAATGACAATTTCAGGTTATTTTATGGTGCTCCTATTAGGCTTCCAAGGATTTAGTTTTGATAGGGTTTCTATCTTTATAAAACAAGGTATATGCAATTATATACTTCAACATTTCCAAAGCAGGTACCTTAGGCTGTAACTCCAGGTATTGCCTAGAGTGAATGAGTTTCACCTTTGTGATACTACCACCTATTAAAAATGTAGTTGAGTCAATGATGCTAATTAGGCACAAAAGCTATGATATTTCAGCTTAGATGCCTACTGGATATAGGCTTAATCCACCCCACCCCCAACAATTATAAGGAAGATATTAAAATTAAAAAACATGTATTGAATGTTGAAATATATATATACTAGATTATTGCCTTTCAAGGGTTACACAGGCATGAGTAATTCCAAGGAACTCAAATTCTGCATTCTCAAGTTCCACATGTATACCTTTCTAAAATCGTCTGCTTAAGAGCACTCCTATGGGGCTTCTTCTTTCTCACCTTTCTTTCATATTACCTCTCACCCACTGGGAATCTTACTAGGAGACACTGTCCCGGGATGCAAAAATGTCTTGGTTGCCAAAGGAGCAATTTAAAATATTTGTTTCTTAAAAGCCTCCCGGCCGGGCGCAGTGGCTCAAGCCTGTAATCCCAGCACTTTGGGAGGCCGAGGCGGGTGGATCACGAGGTCGAGAGTTCGAGACCATCCTGGTCGACATGGTGAAACCCCGTCTCTACTAAAAATACAAAAAATCAGCTGGGCATGGTGGCGTGTGCCTGTAATCCCAGCTACTCAGGAGGCTGAGGCAGGAGAATTGCCTGAACCCAGGAGGCGGAGGTTGCGGTGAGCCGAGATCGCACCATTGCACTCCAGCCTGCAGCCTAGGTAACGAGAGCGAAACTCCGCCTCAAAAAAAAAAAAAAAAAAAAAGCCTCCTGAGTACATGATTTTCCAAAATTCTTTTTAACACTTATTATTTAACAGTCAAAGTTTTAACTTGTGTACCAGCTTTCAGGAATAAAAGTCAGACTAAGGGACTTAACCCTCTTGTTAGAGTTCTGTTAATGGAAAACCAGCCAGATGCTTGGCCTAATATACTATCATGGTTTTATTTACTTATTTAAGAGTTGGAGTCTTGCTTAGGTTGCCCAGGCTGGTCTCAAACTCTTGGCCTCAAAAGATCCTTCCACATCAGCCTCCTGATTAGCTGGGATTACAGGGATGAAGCACCAGGTCCAGCCAGCTTACTAAAGTTTTTGAATATGCAAAAACTTTGGTCATTGTGTATGTTTGTGTGAATCTCCTTTACTCAAAACCATGTAAATGGGAGATTAAGTGCAGTTTGGTTTACATGAAAAGTATATTATGTATGACTGCTTAGATCATAGAGAGTAAAAGATAACTTTTATTGCGTCATCTTTTCTTTTTAAATGAATGTACAGAAAGTTGGCTTGCTATATTTACAGAAATTCACCTTCTTCATATTTTATTTCTTAAAATACCCACATACATGCATATATTTGTCCTTGCTCACACAGGTATTATTTGATGGTAAGTTCTCTGAAACACTGGTTCTTTTCTAGACCATTAAGAGGAAACAAGAACAAAAAAAATGATCACTGTTACTCTACACCAGTTTAAGTTAAGGGGTAAAAACGTCTAAAAGTAAAAATGTTCACAATAGTATTTGTATTTCTTTTTACAAACTACAATGCAGTTTTTTAACACTACTTTATTACATAATAACTCTGAAGGCATGAAGTTATTTTTATCTCAATTTTGTAAATAAGACAACTGATGCCAGAGGATATCCAAGTTGTAATAAGCCAAACTAGGACCAAAATTTAAGCTGTTGGACTCTGGACTCTGATTTCTCACCCTATTGAATCACCTCTTGTGAAAATCGTTCAACTTGCTAAGAACTGTGTTCTCTAGGTAAGCTTCTATAAAATGCAGCTGAGGTGATGACACTATTCCAAAGGTATCGAATCTATCTTAATTTTGGTTAGGAAAGCAATATATGCATGATTTAAAATGAAAAGAATGTTTTACCCCTGGAACTTCACAAACTAATTCCCATGCCCTAATAAGAAAGCATGGTGTTTAAATAACCCTTCAGGTGCACCTCAAGGAAATGATCTGTATGTTTCTAGATTTCAAAGCAGCATTCATGTCTAGGAAAAAATATTAATATAAAAAAAGACCTTGATAATTCACTTAGTCTGTTTCATTGGATTTTGGCTGGATACTGTGTTCTTAAAAGTTCTAACTCAAGATGGCCATATGGTGATGGGATATGAGGAGTTAATGACATGCGTAGAAGGACATGTGGTTCCAGACATGCTAGGTGTCTGGTTCCTAACAAGACACTGTAGTATTTGCGATTTCTGATCTGGAAACAAA